TTTGTCCTGGGTTCGTATCCAGGCCGGGGAGGATTTACTGGGCGTCAATCCTTAACTGTAGCCTCTGTTTACCCAACAGTAAAATGGGTACCTGGTTGTTAAACGATTTGGCGGGTCGTATTCCAGGGAACATAGGATTAAGGACTTGCCCGAAACGCTACGCGTGCTAGTGGCTGTACAAGTATATATATATATATATATATATATATATATATATATATATATATATATATATATATATATATATATATATATATATATATATATATATATATATATATATATATATATATATATATATATATATATATATATATATATGTCGTACCTAATAGCCAGAACGCACTTCTCAGCCTACTATTCAAGGCCCGATTTGCCTAATAAGCCAAGTTTTCATGAATTAATGTTTTTCGTCTACCTAACCTACCTAACCTAACCTAACCTAGCTTTTTTTGGCTACCTAACCTAACCTTACCTATAAATATAGGTTAGGTTAGGTTAGGTAGGGTTGGTTAGGTTCGGTCATATATCTACGTTAATTTTAACTCCAATAAAAAAAATTGACCTCATACATAGAGAAAAGGGTTGCTTTATCATTTCATAAGAAAAAAATTATAGTAAATATATTAATTCAGGAAAACTTGGCTTATTAGGCAAATCGGGCCTTGAATAGTAGACTGAGAAGTGAGTTCTGGCTACTAGGTACGACATATATATATATATATATATATATATATATATATATATATATATATATATATATATATATATGTCGTACCTAGTAGCCAGAACGCACTTCTCAGCCTACTATACAAGGCCTGATTTGCCTAATAAGCCAAGTTTTCATGAATTAATTGTTTTTCGACTACCTAACCTACCTAACCTAACCTAACCTAACTTTTTCGGCTACCTAACCTAACCTAACCTATAAAGATAGGTTAGGTTAGGTTAGGTAGGGTTGGTTAGGTTCGGTCATATAACTACGTTAATTTTAACTCCAATAAAAAAATTGACCTCATACATAATGAAATGGGTAGCTTTATCATTTCATAAGAAAAAAAATAGAGAAAATATATTAATTCATGAAAACTTGGCTTATTAGGCAAATCGGGCCATGTATAGTAGGCTGAGAAGTGCGTTCTGGCTACTAGGTACGACATATATATATATATATATATATATATATATATATACTTGTACAGCCACTAGCAATTTGCCTAGTAAGTCAAGTTTCCCTGAATTTATATATTTTTCGATTTTTTTCTTATGAAATGATAAAGCTACCCATTTAATTATGTATGTGTTAAGTTGCTTTCGTTGCTTTGTGGGCTAAAGTGGCAAGGAGTGCTAAAGTGGGTCAGAGAGTATCTCCCAGGAAGAAAGCAAAGGGTTACAGTGAGAGCAGACACATCAGAGTGAAGAGAGGTTACGAAGGGGGGGTATCACAAGGGTCGGTTCTAGGACCCATCCTGTTTTTAATATATGTCAATGACCTGACAGAGGAAATTAGTTCCTTCATAACAATGTTTGCAGATGATGCAAAACTAATGAGAAGAGTCAGGTCAGTGATAAAGTTGTATACGTTGCAAGAGGATTTGGACACACCCCAAAAGTGGTCTGAAAAAAGGCTGCTAGAATTTAACCCAGCCAAATTCAAAGCTGTGAGGAATGGAACAGGAGTGCGAAGGCCAGTACAGCTGTATAGGAGAAAGGGAAGACAAATTCTCCAATCAGAAAAGAAGAAAACCCCGGGAGTTGACATAACCCCAAATCTGATGACAGGAGCTTACACTAGCAGAATAACAACAGCTGCATATGGCATGTTGACCAGACCACACACTAGAAGGTGAAGGGACGACCACGTTTCGGTCCGTCCTGGACCATTCTCAAGTCGATTGTGAGAATGGTCCAGGACAGACCGAAACGTCGTCGTCCCTTCACCTTCTAGTGTGTGGTCTGGTCAACATACTTTAGCCAAGTTATTGTGACTCATCGCCTGCATATGGTATACTTGCAAACATCCACATATCCTTCAGAAATTTGGGCAAAGGCGTTTTCCGGGCCCAATATGCAGCGAAGGTGAGACCCACTCTTGAACATGTATCCCCAGCATAGAATCCTTACTTGAAAAAGGACAAAGATAAATTTAGAAAAGGTCCAAAGATATGCAACGAGACTCGTTCCAGAGCTGAGGAGATTGAGCTATGAGGAAAGACTGAGAGAACTGGACACTACCACATTGAAGGAAAGGAGATATAGGGGTGACATGATAACAACATATAAGATTCTAGGAGAAAGTAACGAAGTACACAAAGCAGCGTTGTCCAAACCAATGAACAGCGGAACGAAGAGTCATAGATGGAAACTGGAAACTCAAACGAGTAACAGACACCCAGCAAGAATTTTTTTCAGAGTTAGAGTTGTTAATAAGTGGATTAGGTTAGAGTAAGAAGTCGTCGAAGCAAATTCAATTCAAAATTTGTAAGTGTAAATACGTTAAAAGCGTGAGAAAGGAGTCATTGTATTAATCTACGAACGTTTGGGAGGCGGGGCCAGGAGCCTAGCTCGACCCTGCACGCACAGCTAGGTCAGCACACAGATAGCATACTTACACTACTCCCCCCCCCCCACCAAACACAAGTGGCACTTCCACCACCCCCACAGATGGCACTCCTACCCCCCACCCCCTCACACACACACATGGGTGGCATTACTCCCCCCCCAAACACACACAGGTGGCACTACTTCCACCCACACACACAGGTGGCACTACTCCCCCCCTCCCACACACACAGGTGGCACTACTTCCACCCACCCACCACAGGTGGCACTACTTCCACCCCTTCCCCCCACAGGTGGCACTATTCCCACCACACCCACACACAGGTGGCACTACTCCCACCCACCCACACACAGGTGGCACTACTCCCACCCACCCACACACAGGTGGCACTACTCACACACACACAGGTGACACATCTCCACCCCCACCCCCATCCACAGATGGTACTACTCCCACCACCAAAGATGAGACCAGGACAGGCCTTCTCTAGTCTCCGGACCCCAGGACCGGCCAGAGTCCCAGACCATCGCCGGACCCCAGAACCTGACCGGGACCCCAGAGCCTGGTCGGACCCCAGAGCCTGACCGGGACCCCAGAGCCTGACCGGGACCCCAGAGCCTGGGCAGACCCTTGACCCTGGTGGCGCCCCGGGCCGTGGCGGGACCCCAGCCCCACCCCGCCTAAATAGCAGGTGGCCCAGGAGGGTGTAGCTCGCCCCGTCTTTACTCTGACCGCAGTGTGTGCCCCGCCCTGCCCCGCCCACCCTCACTCACCCTCAGTGTAATACTGGCCCCAGCACGCCACCCTCACAAACACCACCCAGCACACAGCCTCACAAACACCACCCAGCACGCCACCCTCACAAACACCACCCAGCACACAGCCTCACAAACACCACCCAGCACACAGCTTCACAAACACCACCCAGCACACAGCCTCACAAACACCACCCAGCACACAGCCTCACAAACACCACCCAGCACACAGCCTCACAAACACCACCCAACACACAGCCTCACAAACACCACCCAGCACACAGCCTCACAAACACCACCCAGCACACAGCCTCCCCCCACAAACACCACCCAGCACACAGCCTCACAAACACCACCCAGCACACAGCCTCACAAACACCACCCAGCACACAGCCTCACAAACACCACCCAGCACACAGCCTCACAACCACCACCCAGCACACAGCCTCACAAACACCACCCAGCACACAGCCTCACAAACACCACCCAACACACAGCCTCACAAACACCACCCAGCACACAGCCTCACAAACACCACCCAGCACACAGCCTCACAAACACCACCCAGCACACAGCCTCACAAACACCACCCAGCACACAGCCTCACAAACACCACCCAGCACACAGCCTCACAAACACCACCCAGCACACAGCCTCACAAACACCACCCAGTACACAGCCTCACAAACACCACCCAGCACACAGCCTCACAAACACCACCCAGCACACAGCCTCACAAACACCACCCAGCACACAGCCTCACAAACACCACCCAGCACACAGCCTCCCCTCACAAACACCACCCAGCACACAGCCTCACAAACACCACCCAGCACACAGCCTCACAAACACCACCCAGCACACAGCCTCACAAACACCACCCAGCACACAGCCTCACAAACACCACCCAGCACACAGCCTCACAAACACCACCCAGCACACAGCCTCACAAACACCACCCTGCACACAGCCTCACAAACACCACCCAGCACACAGCCTCACAAACACCACCCTGCACACAGCCTCACAAACACCACCCTGCACACAGCCTCACAAACACCACCCAGCACACAGCCTCACAAACACCACCCTGCACACAGCCTCACAAACACCACCCTGCACACAGCCTCACAAACACCACCCAGCACACAGCCTCACAAACACCACCCAGCACACAGCCTCACAAACACCACCCAGCACACACCCTCACAAACACCACCCTGCACACAGCCTCACAAACACCACCCTGCACACAGCCTCACAAACACCACCCAGCACACAGCCTCACAAACACCACCCAGCACACAGCCTCACAAACACCACCCTGCACACAGCCTCACAAACACCACCCAGCACACAGCCTCACAAACACCACCCAGCACACAGCCTCACAAACACCACCCTGCACACAGCCTCACAAACACCACCCTGCACACACCAAAAGAGAGTAACAACAGTTCCATTGGTCACGACAGTGTACCCGTATATTAAGCTATTTAAGGAAGCTCTTAACATTGTTTTTACCCAGGATATTGGGTAAATATAAGGGTGGGGATAATGGGTAAATATAAAGGTGAGGATAATGGGTAAATATAAGGGTGAGGATAATGGGTAAATATAAGGGTGAGGATAATGGGTAAATATAAGGGTAAGGATAATGGGTAAAAGATCAAATTGGGTAA